GCGAAACCTGAGGGCGAAGTAATTTTCGAGTCGACAGCCTCGGGTGAGGACGCATACCTGGTAGACCCTGTCACGTCCACCGGTATCGTCTTTAGCAGAGAGGAGCTGCTCAAGGCACAGCAAGACGATCCATTTTGTCAACACATTGTTGACGAGCTCAAAGAGCTGAGCTCCCAAGCAGAGCGGGGCGGTCAAGCCGCCGGGCGCAAACAGACAGCTGGTATTGTTGTCGGCGCCGAGTGCCGTACACAGGCTGGTATTGCTGCGGGCACGTTGGACTCGTACCTGCTTGATGCCGACAGCGTTATCCTGCGCTACGTCCCATCTGAAGAAGCTCCCCAGGAGTCTTTCAAGGTGGTGATACCCCGCAGTTTAAGGAAAGCCACCCTAGGTTATTTTCACGACTCGCGGTTGGATGGACACGCGAGTGGCCTTAAGACTTTCCAAAAGTTGTACCGCTGCGCTACCTGGCCTGGCATGAAGCGCGACGCCCTTCACTACGCCCGCTCATGCCGCGTGTGCCAATGCGTGAAGCCTCGCGGGGGCAAGCCTCCCGGGCTCATGCAGTCGATCGACAGCCAACAATCTTCACAGGTCGCGGTCTGTGACATTATGGGACTTTTCCCAAGAAGCCGGAGAGGCCATGTTTTTCTCCTGGCTGTCACAGATCACTTCATGAAGTGGGTCGAACTGTTTCCCCTTTGGAAGTTAACGGCACGCGTAATCTGAGACAAGTTGACCGAGGTCTTTACTTGCTTTGGCTTTCCGGCGGAGTTGATCACGGACAATGTGTCCTATTTCACGGCCAAAGTGTTTGTGGATGCGTGTGCTCCCTTTGGCATTAAGCACCATAAAACAACCACGTATCACCCACAGGCCAACCCAACCGAGTGAATCAACTTGAACCTCAAGTCCTTGCTGACAGCCTTTGTGCAGCAACACAGGGATTGGGATGCCTGTCTTAATGAGATCGGCTTCTCCTTGCGGTCTACGGTCAATCGCTCGACAGGGTACACGCCTGCTTTCCTCAACTTTGGGAAAGAGCTGCCTAACCCCATGGACCGCGCGGCAAGCGCCGCGAAGGTCTGCCCGTCTGGCTACGCGGCGGAACTGCGCTCACGGATGGACGCAGCCCTCGACCTGGCGCGTTCTAACCTAGCAAAAGCGCGAGCTGGTCAGAAGGCTCAATACGACCGATCGCATCGGGATGTCCGTTATGATGTCGGCGATCTCGTCCTCAGGCGCAATCACGTCTTGAGTGACGCCGCCAAAGGCATCTCGGCCTCCCGTTCGGCCAAGTGGTTGGGCCTATACCGAGTGCACACCAAAGTGTCACCCCTGGTATACAAGCTGGCTGACTCCCAAGGGAGACCAGTCGGCAGTCCAGCTAACGTCTCCGACCTCAAACTTTTCGTTGCCCGCAGCAACGACTTCGGGGAGGGGGAGGCGGTCACCGAACGGCAGGAAAACCGGGATAAGGCTGCTTCCAAACCACGCCACCGGTACAACCTGCGAAAACACACTTAGGCTGATTTTCGCCTCCGGCATGTAGCGGGATGTTATCCCCTCCATGTAAGGGAGCGGAGATTTATAGCTGCTGTGCGAGAGCCCATCCAGCAGCAACAGGAACGGCTACCGGGCGAGCTTTCTTCCTGGGAACACCATTAAAGCGCTGCGCGCGTAATATCCACCCAGTTCCCAGCGCTCCCAGCTGCTCGAGAGAGAGAAGCCCTTTCCCCGGTGGCTCACTCTCTCACTGGGTATCTTCCACGTAGTCGGCGGGAGAAGGGTAGCGTGCGCCCTATTGGCTCACGGAACCTTCAATCCGACGGAGTAGGCTCTCTTTATTGGGCCAGCCTGTCGCGCCTCCGGGGCTGCACCTTCAGTTGCAATTCTGCTTTTCACCGACACCCCAGCATTCGTGATGTCCTCTTCGATGGCCCGTTCCTCCAAGAAAAAGCCCGAGAGACCAGCCGCGCGCTCGGTCGTTCCACAAGCACCGGCCGCGTCTATGCCGCCTCCGTCGAATGCTCCCCCGGCCCCGGCCAACAAGACACCGCCTCGTCGTGAAGTCGCTACGTGGACGTTCCAATAAGGCACTGAGGCCCCGTTCGCCTTCGTGTCGACTCGTCGCTGGTCCAAGCAACGCAAAGTCTGGGTGGGGTTAGACCCCGAGTCCGTCCTGCGTCCTTTCCGCGGAGGCACCCTTTCGGACCTGCTCGACACTTCCGGAGGTGCCTCGATGTCGCCTGTTCCCGAGGATTCCTATTGCAACGCTTGCGGTGTCCTGCTGGTGCACGAGGCTACCCACCTCCGTTCGCTGGTTCACCGAACGAAGTCCGGCGGTGCCCCTGCAGTTCTGTCCACTCCGGCGGTGCCGCCTGGCCCGGGCCTTCAACCTGCCCTGTCGACCGACTCTGTTCAGGCGGTCGTGACGGCGCTCGTCACGGACTCATCATTCAAGTCGGCCATCGCTGCTGCGGTGTCTGCCGCCCTCCTGCAGCCCCTGGTTCCTGCTGAGACGCCGCCTAATGAAGACACCGGGGCCCCCGTCGATCTCGTGGATGGCACTGAGCTGGACCTCAGTTGTTTCGAATAAAGGTATCGGTGGATGCTTCTATTACGGCGTCTTCAGAGCGGCCTCGGTCTTAGAAGAGGGGAATGTGGGAATTGAGAGCACCCTCCTACCTGGCACCTCGTTCCCCAGCTACCGCGCGCGTGCCGACAGCGTAGCCCGGGCGCGCATAAGCACCGGCATCCACCAAGATGGCTGCCAGGGCGCCTCTTGGTCTGGGCCAGTCAACCGTTGGCTCCTTCCCGCGCTAGCATGTCCAAGCACGCTACGCTGGCGTGCTGCGTGGGCCTACGTCACAATGCAGCCCCATTTCCCTTTGGGCCACGCGTGACATCCTCCTCTCCTACGAGCTTCGTTACGCCCGACAATTAGCTCGTCGCGGTAGATGCTCTCAGGCCTCCACGAGAGGTTGACGCGCTGCTTAGCAGGCGGCTTCTCGTTCGTGTGTTCGACTTCGGCCGTTGTGCGGGAGTCGTCGCGCCCTAGGCAAGGGTACTTGCTCGGTCTTGCGGAGTTCTCTATACGGCCTCCAAGCCCGTGAGTGTCGCACTGTACTGCATCTTGGGTTAATAAACCCCTTTGTTGTTGTTATCCTGCCTTGTGCGTGGTTTCTGCACTGTGCCGGAGAAATCGACGAACCCGGCCGCAGCGCCTTCGCACACAGTCGCAGTGGATGACGTCGCATCCCTACACGGTTGCACTTAGTAGGTAAGGCTTGTGTAAACCTATCTCCTCAGCATGCAGCCGCTCTTTCCAAGAATTGAAGCATGCGATGCGTGCTTGCTAACATTTAAATTTCCGAATATTAGAAGAATTTAATTTGCAAAGACAAGCATCGCCAACGAAATGAATGCGAAACTATTGCGGAAATTCGTTGACTACTTATTGGAGCACCTCGATCATGCGCATTACACAGAAACTATGTCGAATCACGCCCAGAGTTTGATGCGCTGAAAGGCATCAATCATTCGATTTTACGGTTGCGCGCCCTATTTAAGACATCGCAATCGAATTGCGAATCACTATTCGAGCTCTGCACATGCCATCCTCGTTTTCATTAACGATATGTATCGCTTCCCATCAAGTGCGGCCACTGCATCTTTAAGAGTTTCGTTGATTCGGCACCAAAACGGAACTTTGATAACACACCACCACTACCGATTGACACGCAACTAACACCGATTAAGCCTAGCTTGCAGTTTGGTATGTTGTCGTGGGAAGTTAGTCCAAAACATGAAGATTCGGTGTCGAAAAAATTGCACTCGAGCCCTGAACCAAGAACAGCCAGCGTGATACCAAGTTTGCGTTCGCGGCCGGGAAATCACTAATGACGAATACTCGCCAAGCTTACGTATGACAGCACACTGGCAGCAAAAGCAAAAGCACGTCATAAAGCCGTAAAAGGTTTTCAATTTAGTTTACAGACGAGGAAGCAAATGCGATATTTGTTGCAAGCGATATTTCTTGCAAGCTCGATAATGACGCCTTTCCCGACAGGAAACTGTCAATGAGGGTGGCGATTTGGGCTTGTTGGTATGGTAGCATGATAATATATGGTAGCGCAGACAAAGGACACGGACAAGAGAAAGCATATTCAAGACAACACAGCGCTAATGTGCTTTCTCTTGTCCGTGTATATTATCAGAAAACTGTCAAGCGCAGTTGATAAGGACTGGATCGCACGGCGCGCGGCTGGAGCCATGCTAGCAACGTAGTACCAGAGAACACCTATATCACACTGTAGCCGCGTTGGTGCCGATGCAAAGGCTTATCCGTCGCTGCTGCAGCTGACCTCCTCCCTTACTCGGTGAGCCCACGCAGTGTGCCACGGTCTTTTTTTTTTCATTTTTTTTCTTCTCTCAGCCCTTCGTTCGCTATGTGTCCCCTCCTCCTTCGTAACAACCTCGTCGTTTGTTCCCCAGTGGCGTACCCAGCGTGCCTCCATTCAGAAGCGCACTCACTACCGTCTTTTCCACAAACATTTTCAGGCACACGCATTATAGCGGGTCTTTTATCTTGGGGGACTGCACAATAAACGGTATGCGTATACATGGGATTCTATGGAAGGGTAAACCGGAGTAGAAAAAGACCGCATTGTAACCAGTTCTGCACTATAAGCGGTTACAATTTGTAACGCCAAAAGCTGGTGGTGGTATCTGTAACCATGCTGTAAACCACACCTGTTACATTGTTTAGCTCAGTCAAGTGTTTTGCAATTTCACTTGGCTGGCTGTAGGTACACTTTTCCCCGCTGTTGTACTCTTTACGATTGAGTTGAGGTGTGAGAATATCCAAAGTTATATCCTATTTAATTCTGTTAAGCATTCTTCCTAGCACCTGTTTTGCACGGTGTATTCTCTAAATCACAGTTAGTAAGAAGTATTTTGTGATGCCCTGTTGGTGACGGACATCTCTCTAAGTGCAGGAGGCCAACCACCGTCACGGGCGGATGGTGATGCAGAGCCAGCCCTGTTGGATAGCCGCAAGTGTGACAACATCAAGTTGCCATTCTACGATGAGAAGCACAACTTTGGCTCGCAAAACACCACTTTTTTTGTATATGTGTTCAACTTCACCACACCATTCGTGCTCCAGATCTCTTTCTCCCAGCACCGGGCACTCGATCTGCTCCAGTTCTTCATCACGTTTTCAAGGTGCTTTTGCAGAATAGTAAACCCTCTTGCACAAATTTGGTCTTTTTTCTTCTCAAGCCCTTTTGAATGAGCACTGTTGATTCTTTTGTGTTAAATGTAACAGTTTGTGGTGCTTTGTTTATTTTCCCACAGGCTTGGTGCACTTCTGTTATGTTGCACTTGCAATAACGTGAGATGAGTTCCAATATCGATAAGTATATGCTAAATTTTAATGGCACATCCAGGCCAGCTTGCAAGCTCTCACATAAAGCACACTGTTTCAGTGGAGCGCACATGCTCAAGATGTGTATTTTGAACACTGCCACTGCGCTGAGCTACCAGATGTTTGCAACTGCATACATAAGTTCTGCTAGTTACTGTGCTAGTCAGGGTCTTTTAGCAATGACTTCAAATGCACAGTGAATCTGTCTGCCTATCATCAGTTGGTCTGTCGCACTTGTGCATAGGTACACCTTCGGGGTATTATCAATTGTTAGTAGAAGTTCAGCTACATATGCTTTTTTAAGACTCACAAAAATTGTTGGGATACAAAACAATTGGTTCTTATTGTCGAGTTGTCCGTTATGATTCTAAAAGCACACTTACTTCATCCGACTGTACAGGCACATGCTCATGGCAGTTGCTCATGCTCATAAACTAGTTGCAAGTTCAGCGCCATGTGTGTTAATTTCTTCCTGCGTCTAAGCGCTTCATATTTTTGTTATAAAACCCCGCCAACTTGCCCAATCTGCAGGTCTTCTTGTGCTCAGTCCTCCAGACTGTGTAGATACAGAGTCAATTTCTCGAGTTTATTCAGATAAAGCTTCTTTTGCTTTATTGACTGCACAGCTATGGATTCAACACCATATTGCAGTTTCTGCCAATTCTTCACTTTTCATCCTGAATTGCTGTGTCATCTGATGGCATTAGAAATGATCATTGCATTCGTTTTTCACTATCAGTGTTGATGCAGCACTATGTTCCACTCGAAATGTCAGTTTTCTTGAAAACATGTGGCTGCAAAATTATGCGCTTGGTGTTGCTTTCATCTAGCTTCACATACACCAGAATGATTTACCGTTTCCCGTTGAAGGGGAGATGCAAGTCGAAAACTGCGAGTTTTCTAAAAAATTACCAATTGTTTGTTTTCACCTGTTTTGATAAGATTAGTATCTCTGCTGTTCTGAAAAAAAAAATCTATGTCGAGACTCAGCTGGAAATGCTTTAAAATTGTGTCTAAAGAGTACAAGGTAGCTATTAAAAGGCTGAAAGTGTGCAGTCTTCGAGCGCCTTGCCGCTGATGATGCGCTGCTGCTCACCACTGTTGATCACATGAGGCGTAGCACCAAGCCTCGCTCTTCAAATAACAGTTTCCCATGCTGCTGTAGCTCAAGAAGTAATAAAAAAAAAATCAAGCTTTTGCCATGTTTTTTTAGCACCGGGACTGGCTTTTAAATCGCATGGTACGGATCGGAGACTGTCATTGGCCGATGCGCACCTGTGAAGCCTACTTGCAAGATCCGTGTCTCTTCGAGCAGCGCAGCTGAACAACGCTTGTCTTGTGTGACCTTCATTATGGATGAAGAAAGCCATAGCTCGCGCAATAGTACTCTGTCAATGTAAAAGCTGTTGTGGTGGCGCGCTCTGTAGAACTGGGCTGAGAGCAACTGGTTCGATTTGCAGCAATTCTTGGCTTGCAAAAGCCAATCCATCAAAGTCATTCACACCCATCAGGCAGAAAGTTCGTGATACGGCGATAGATGTGCCAATGATGTGATGTCGAAGGATCTCGCAGTGAGGGAAGTTAGGGAGGACGACATTATCGTTATGTAAAATAGTGTACATAGCGCAAATGCGTCCGCAAGAGCCACAATGACATCAGCACTGTTGTGTCTCTCGACACTGAACTTTGTTTAGATTTTGAAGACCCGTCGAAGTTCTCCCCAGCTCGCACTTAGCACAAGGCTGTGCTAGATAGAGCAGAAGAAATTTGGCAAGCGTTTCATGGCCCTATGGCCCTATCTGTGAGCAAAATGTCTGTAAGGAGTCGGCTCGAAAGAGCCGTGAGGGACAAACTTATGGTGCTGGCGCATTTTAGTGGCAGTGGTCACTACAAAAAAGATTCTTCTTCTCGGTGTGCAAATTTCATTGCATTTAATGACACATTTCTTTTAAAAATTCAATTTTAACTTTAAAACTTGCTTTTTCCAAAGCAGATTTTGCCTTTTTTTTTTTTCAATGTTTCCCTCCTTCTTCAGTTGTTCTGGTGCTCGAATGTGCATGAATTTTGCCCAAATTTTTTTTCAAAGTAGGCCAAATGCAATTATTTAGTTTTATTATTTTGTTTAAATTTTAATATTTTTGTAATATAATAAATGTTTTGAGTTGGACAAATATGGACTTTTTCACATCTAATATTTTTCACATCTATTTCATACTTTGTATGTGTTTCTTAATTAGTTATTGGAATTCTGCACTTTATTTGAAATATTATGAACTATAAATGGTAAAATTATGTACGTTTAGTGATGAAGAGGGGGGGGGGGGGCAGAAAGCTTAAGGTTATCGCATTGTCCTGTTGCAGAGCTAAAAGTATGCAACTTGCAGGAAAACTAATTATGTATTTGAATTCAGCACAAAAAGTTCTATAGACAGATGAAGTTTCATTGCTCTAGGGTGAATATAAAAAAAAAGTATTATCGAATCGAGTAGCATCCCTCCTTAAGCATAAAAATGATGAGAGCTGTTGTCTGTGAGGGCTCGCACAGCATTTGAAGAGGAAGTGCAGCCTTTCAGAACGTCTAAATTGATCAAGAAGCAATTTCTCTGTTACCTGTTCTGATGAGCTCGACTAGCTTAGAACATTTGGTTTTTTGAGTTAAACACAATACAATATACATCAGTGGGCTTTCACCTATCTCTCATCATCTGAGCCTCTATCACTTCTGTGGCTGTACCATCTTTGTTTTGTGAGCTATATTATCTTTGTAAAGTACTAGTATGTCTACAATTTTGCTTTCATTGAGCTTTGATGTGCAAGTTTTGATGCCAATGCAGTGGAACTTTTGGTGTATTTTTTTAATGTAACACTGTTATAATAACGCATGTGTGCAATGCCCTTTTTTTTAACCCCTTCAGATATGTTTTAAAAATGCTGAGAATTTTATGGTTGTGTGAGGACTTGGTTACCTTGCTTTAGTTGTCACGATAAAAATTTATAAATAAATAATAAACTGGGCTTTCAGTGTAATGCATTTCTAGATAAAACTTGTCTGTTTTAAAGGTGATGTAATATGGCTATTTATTGAACCAGCTTGCTTTGCATCCGAGAAATCTGTTAGTGCCTTGCATAGTCCGCCATGGGGGTGTAGTGGTTGTCGGCTGCTGACCCGAAGGCTTCATTCGGGCCCCGGCAATTGTATATCAATCGGGGAAAATGCTAGAGGTCCATGTAATCTGTGATGTGAGGGCACATAAAAAAACACCAGATGGTCGAAATTTCCGGAGCCCTCCACTATGGTGTGCGTCATAATCACAAGTGGTTTTGGCTGATAAAACCCAAGATATTATTATAGTGTTTTGCACACAGCTTCGTTTTTCTACATGAATACTATCATGCTGGAGGGATGAATAAGTATATGAGTAGCTATAGCTACGTGGGCCATTGCTAGTATTTAAGTGACTCAGCTAACAGAATCACAGTGCTGTTTCTCATATGAGATGTTATTTTCCTCTTTCTGCTGCAGCTGTTTTCTCTCGCTGCTTATTATAGCAGCCATCCTGTGGAAGATCAAGCAGAAGTACGACCTTTACAGAAGGCGACAGGTATTAACACCCTTTTAGTTGTGTTTATGCACCGTGGTGCAGGGGCCCTGCAACACTTTTTCAGCGTGGTCAGAAAACGTAGCCAATCAGTAGTCATTGGCTTCTAAGAACACGCGAGCCAAACATTATAGTACAGCCTGGAAGCTAGAAATTGTTCCTGTTTCTTTCTACAAATGATGCCCTATACCCAAAATGACTGTGCCATATACCCAAATTCACGGCTATTGGCTGATTTGAGCATCGTGAGCTGGATAGTCATTGCTGCCACCACGAAAGGCCGCCACGGGCACGCGCGGGCGCCTGCAATCACACTGAAAGTAAGCCATGCTTCGAAGCAGTTAAAGTGTTCAAGAAGTCTCTTTATTTCCGCTCGTGCTTGACGTATCCTAAAAGTTTTTGTAGCAGTCAATTTATGTGGTAATAAACTCCTTTAACGAAGACATTCCATGGATACCTAGAAAAGAGTTGCAGGGTCCCTTTAAGATCTATCTCACTACAGTTGGAATTGTTGACTTTAGACAGCCCCATTTGTCTTGTAAAACTTATCGCCATTTCTTACAATGCCCCTGCCAGAATCATGGCTTCTTCCTAGTTTCTACAAGATAAAATCACACTCCAAACAAAGTATTTTGATATTTTTGACTTGAGCATCACTGAAACAAACTAGCTAGCGGGAATGTTCTTCCATTCTAATTCATCGCCATCTTTATTTGTGAGAATGCCCATATTTGTAGTGGTAATGAATCAAAATCACTTTCGAGTACTGATACATTGTCTGCACATTTTGAATGGCAAGAAGACAGCCTACTTATATTCAAAGGATACGGCCTGTATTTCAGAACCTGAATGACCGGTTTCTATCGTTTCCGTCATTAAGGGAAATTATAAATGTCTCATTCATTTTCATAGAATGGGCTGTGAGTTTAAAGGGATTTAAAACTTGCTTGAGAGAGGGGAATAAAACTATATGGTATATAGATTACTTCTGATAATATAGACATGTCCTTTCGCATGCAGCAATTGTTTGTGGAAATGGAACAAATGGCGAGTCGTCCTTTTGCTGGGGTCACGCTTGAGTTGGACAGTGAGCCGGATGGGTCGAGTAAGCAGTTTCAAGACGGTATGAAGCAGGTGAGCTTTTGCAATTATAGTGTTTCCATCTTTCTTCATGTTTAGTTTGTTTTGAATTGTTTGCCACAGGAGAGAACATAACTTTAGACTTGCATTTAATTTTAGTTGGCCTGGTGTTGCACCAGGCCTACTGAATATGGTTTCTGTAAAGCAAGAATAAAAGTAGTCTGAGTGCAAATTCTTGTGGTACCCCTGATTCTTCTTTGGCCTGCAGAAGGTTTTCAGCAGTTAGTAGGAAATAGTTGATGAGAAAACACTCATTTCATATTTGGAGATTAGAGCAACGGTTTAGTAGAGTAAGCTAATGCACCAGTAGTTCAAGACATAGGTTTTTGAACGCTTTGCTAAAGTCTGAGGTGACACAGTTGGCACATGTTGATCGATCTAGAATACAAACACGAGAACTGAGTAAAAGTACTACTCACATGAGAATGTTTTCCGGAAGTTTTGTTCTGCTGGTGTAAGTAAGATCTATGCTTCAAGAAAAGTGATATGAGGTTTGTTAATACAACACGTTGGAGTAATTTATCACAAGTGGCACATGTTGATCGATCTAGAATACAAACGCGAGAACTGAGTAAAAGTACTACTCACATGAGAATGTTTTCCGGAAGTTTTGTTCTGCTGGTGTAAGTAAGATCTATGCTTCAAGAAAAGTGATATGAGGTTTGTTAATACAACACGTTGGAGTAATTTATCACAAGTTGTTGGTAATAAAATATAACTTGTGTTTAACAGTGAATTTCTGTTACCATTCCAATTTTTCATTAAATTGACAAAGCAGATGAGTAAAAATATTGCTTAAATATTACCTTTCTTTAAATCATAAGAAGCCACAGTGGTGGGTTTGTTTTTATGGCACTCAGCTACTGACCCAGAAAGACATAGATTCAATCTGACCTGCAGTGATTACATTTCAGTGGAGTCAAACTATTAGAGGCCTGTATAATGTGCAATGTAAGAATGGTGGTCGAAATTGTCCGTACCCTTCCACTATGGTGTGCATCTGTTATGGCCCAAGTCGCTTTGGGATGTTAAACCCATAAACCAATCAACCTAATAGCATCACTAGCATGCTTAATCATTTGGTAAAGTTGTCAGATTCAGGGAACAAATGTATGGGTACATCTCAGTTAGTTTGGTGATGCAAGAAGCATCTGTAATTACTGGTGCCATTGGTATATATTCTTCATGTTTTGCTGTTTGTAAGTGCATATTTGAGGAACAAGAAAGATGATTTGTTAACAAATCCAGGCAGTCCAGGGAGCCTGTGAAACAATCAGGACCTTTGGTCCTCGACCCCGTCACGGGTGCTACAAGATAAATGTAAACTGGTAGCGTAACTTCCATAGAAGCCCATGGCTCTAGCCGTCACCATCTACCGAAGGAGGGGACAATTAACAGCGAAAAAAAAATTACGTCACAACCAGAAGCGGTAGTGATTTTGCGCTTACATAGCGCAAAATCGAAATTTTTCTTCATTGCTGACCTCTTACGTTCTATTATTAATACACTTTATTGCACCTTGTGGCTTGCTAATTGCATTCAGGAGAGAAAAAAAACAAAGATTGAGAAGGCAAAGTTGTTTTATTGGCCAAATGCCGTACTCACAATATGCACAAAAAACTACGCCGAGGCAATTGTGATCAAAATGTTCACGAGCATAATAGTTCGCAAACTCACGTTGCCCAGTCCTTAAAAACCACTACAGCGAGACAACAGCTTTGAAAATATAGCTTTGGCAGACGTAGAGTATAGCGTCTCGTTGCTTACCGTGTCATGTTCACCGTCATCAAAGGCGAGGGCATGCCGGACGTGCGCCAGCGAAAGCAGTTGGCAGTCACAGGAGCGGCTATCTACACTATCTGTGAGCTAGTTCAGCTCTGAAATGTCACACCAGTAAACAGCAGATAAAAAATAAGTAAACTTCTGAAGGTGCGCACGAAACCACCACAGAAAAATTAACGATGCCTCGTTGACATGGCAATGCGCCGATCCAAAAAACACGCCGAACTTAACGCAAGCTCTGATAGCAAATTTCCTGAATACGCCCCCCCCCCCCCCCCCTACCTTTATGGCATTCAACAAAAAACTGAGGTGATCAACCATTTAGCCAAGTTTAAGATACACCGTAAAGTAAGTTTACTTTAACATATGTAAAATTACATTGATTTCAAGAAAAAATTATGTCAAGTTTTCAGTTTTTGGTTGTTTGTCCCGACCTCACCTAGTTGCGCTTCAATCGTCGCGCGGTTGTTTATCTCTGTCGTAATAGGTTTCAAACCACTTTTCATTTCGACTTTCGCGACCCATTTAGATTGACCTTAGGTGCTGCCCTCGCTGGGTCCTTAGGAACCCTCTTCCCAGGAGGCAAATAAAGTTCATCTGTCTGTCCATAGTCTGTCTGTCTGTCTGTATGTGCATCTAATTCAATGGGTGTATTAGCTCAGAGGAGAGTGACAGATTAATTTTGTAAGCTTCTTGAGTGTGCAGGTGTTATATTCATTATTTCTGTAATTTTCTTATTTTAGTGCTGATTATTTTTAGCTGTGTAGATGACATTAATTTTTGCAATTTTTAGCTTATTTGTTCGAGATATTTGTTTTTGTAAGCTTTCAGTGTACACTTTCTAATCTAAATCTTTTCAATAGAATGTGAATTGCATATTACATGTATCTATTATTGTGATTTTTTGTCATGTCATTGTGATTCCTGTTTTTTTCAAAGACAATAGTGTTTCTTGGGGACCTTCAACGCAAAAAATTTGGTCTGCCTGTCTGTCTGTCTGTATATTTGTCAGTTTGTCCACTCTTGACGGTACCTTAAACGGCACCAAAGTGACAAAACGATACTTCAGACGGCCGACGCCATTTGCAGCGCCCACTAATATTGCTCAAGGTTTAGCGTTCATACTTGTGCGATTGTCAATTAAAAAGCAATTATTGTGCATATCTGAGGCACCATAACCACACGTCAATATTATGTATGTGTATTTTTTACTAGAAAAGGCATAAATAAGTAATTTTAAGGATCGTAGCCTTTATAACGCTACGCTGGCCATGCAATGCTTGCACGAAACGGCAAGTGTTTCCATCGCTTTGCGTTTTACACTTTATCTCCTCAGAGACGGGCGCGCACGGCGCGCGCCCCTTTTTCCAGGATAACTGCCGGATAGTGCTCCTGTCTCACGTGTGACGTGACTTGATGCGCTCGTTTGCCTCCGCTCCACGCTCGAGGCACTCTAACGTAGCACCTCCGGAATACCATTCACCGATTTTCTTGTGCAGAACATCAAATAAACATTTTGTTCACTCTCTCTAGATGCAAGACTATCGTCTTTCGACGACATTTGCTGTGTATCATGCAGATACGGGGCCAATTTGTTGGTTTTTTTTTGGCATTATGTTCATTTCATTTAACATTGTTTATGCACGTTTGTATTTTCTATTTTTTTTTCCCCTTGCTTCTTGACCCTCCTGCTTAGGTGAAAGTACTATTGGCCTGCAGTATTCCTAAATAAGTAAAATACGTCAAAATAAATTTCTGAATTACAAAAAGTGGTGTATGAAACTAGCATTCTCAATGGAGTTTTTGATGAAAAAAATCCATAAACAGGGGTTGCATGCTCAAAACAACTTTTTGACAAGTAAGCTTCTCTTCTTCGAAGCCAGAAAAAGGCAAGTCCAATTGTCAAAATGTTGGCTCAAGCACACAATCCCCGTTCACGGATTTTTTCATTGCAGCCTACTATCTTCCCCTTCCTGCCAATTAATGAAGGTTTTGACATTTATTCAAAGATTTTAGGGGTGACAGTGAAATCTCGGTAGAACGAACCGCACATTAACAAACTTTTAAAAAATCCTGTGCCATCTGCTAATAGCTTCAATGTAAAATTATTTCACTACTACGTACATCAGAATACCGAACTTTTCAGAATAACGAGCGTTAATTTAGTTCTGTGTTATAATAACATAGTTCTGAAATCCGTCGCGATCAATGGAGCGGTACGCAAGCAGATGACAAAGCAAATGGACGCCTTGCTTCTCAGAAGACGCGCGACGGTGTGGAGGGGGAAAAAAAAACGAAAGGGCGACTTTCTTTTCTTTCTTTTTGTTTAAACGTCGACGCTGCAGGTTTACAAGCGAGCGCAAAGGCGAGGGCAACACGGGAGGGCAAGGTCAGTGAGGCAGAGTGGGAGTTGAGGAGCAGGAAGCATAAGCGCAGAAAACCTGAGACAATGAGAGAGCAGAAAACGAAACGCGAGGAATTTTCTTTTCTAGCTCTTTTTTTCTTTCGAAAGAGATGATGACAGCCGTGCCACTTAAGGTTTTTCTTTGGAGACCTTAATTTTTCAGTCGTGTTCATCTGTTTTCGGTGATTACTTATCATGTACGCAAAACAACTCAGCGTTCGCGCTGCGGGGATACTACAAATCAGTTCATCTCTGCTTGCGATGAAGAAGCGGAAGCAGTTTTCGCTAAGCGAGACAATGGATATTCTTCCGCAACTTGAAGGCAAAAAGCAGGCTGCTGTGACCAAAGACTGGATCGCACTATAGGAATGTAGATAAGCTGCAGGCCTTTGCGCTGCAAAATTTGTGCTGCTCGCGTCAAAAAAAAAAAAGACTTCTTTAAAGTAAACGTGCATTTTTTGGTGTTTACTTGTGCATTTGTTTTTGTTTTTTTCTCATGAAAAACGAGTTCGAAGACCCACCGTTGTAAAGATAAGTCATTTTGGTCGGTGAAACATAAGTGTTTATGGTTAATTTTCAAGCTTTCTCTATAACGACCTTTCAAAATAACGAATAAACTTCTGCTGTCCCCTGAAGTTTGTTACACCGAGATTTCATTGTACCAAGTAATGAAGGCGTTCTGAGTAAATTTTAGTTCTTTAAATTTTTGCACTCACAATCATAACGGTGTGAAATACTACATTCACAAATTATTTGAAGACCATATTTGTTTCACTGAAGATAGACGATATGCATTAGACAGTAGGCTACAAAATGCAGCATTGAGAGGATACATGTAATGATTCTACTGCTGCGCCACAGTGGGCCTAATTCAATTTGCTGCACCGTTGTGATAAAACCGACGTAAATTGCGCCAAACTGCACCAGAGTCTCTGGTTTGGGGATGTCTATCAGTGGCAGTCGCATCACCGGCGTGTCAAAACATGTACAGCCTTATCTTGGGGCCTCCAAAGTCAGAACCACGGAGTAGTAATTGTTTTGCTAAATAAACAGCACTCAGGCTTGCGTCTCCATCTATGACACCAAGACCGGTGTTTTGCAAGTCGGCTCAATAGCAAACTGCATGGAAAGCCTGTTTCCCAGAGGCTCGTGATGACTAGGCTATTCAGCAGTGAAAAAGTGTTTCGGCGATTCATTGGCAGACGCCGTATTGCCACACTTCTTTCTCAAGTCCTTTTTGTCCACCAATTACACGCGCAAGTGCCATGTTAGCTCCTTATTAGCAATGTTCCAGAAACACTGCTGATAGCTCGTTTCAGGAGCTGCATGGCACTTAAATGAAGCATTGTTCATAACTAGTAACTACATGCATGTTGCTAGAATGTCTGTCACTTCTGTTTCTGTACATCGCAGAACAAAATCTGGAAAACTATAATACATGGAGCACTACCGGGGTTTCCATGTTTCATGTCTGTGGGAGAGCTCGTGAACAGTGTTCCGCATTGACACTTTTTCTCGAATATACCTTATCCATAGATCTCTATCCAGATGAGCTTTTTCGTCATTTTCTCCCTCCAGCACATCCAAGTTGGTAATTTCTCTTGCAGGAATACAATATGAAATGCCTTGTATTTTTCAGCTTGTGAGCATTAGGACCGCAATTTGAATATTTGCTTGTTTTTTTAGTGTCATCATCTTAATAAAAGTGTGGCCACTGGTCAGAGCAGTCGTAATTGTGTTCTAATATTTGCAGCTGTAAGTAACAGCCCTTTCGCTGATGACTTTGGCATCAGAAGGCCAGCTGTGAGGTGACTACTCTATGTTTTACTCTATAGGATAACTAGTTAACAGTTAAAAAAATTAGTTTCATTCAAAGGCAAAGTACTGAATGTGATATCAATAAATTGTATTGTTACACGAAGTAAGGCTGATAACTGAATCCTTTGTTACAATCTTGTTTAACTCAATAAAACACTGATGTAAGGAAATACAGTGGCTTCAGAAACTGAAATCATTTTTGTGCTTTCAGTTCTCTATATGTGTAGTAAGCATTGCAAGTACAGCAAGTTTACTACCTGCCTCCTGATGTCTGTTAAGATAGTGCACATGCCAGCGACCACAGCCATCGAGAAACAGCACACTCCCCTCTTCCCCCTACACTCCCGTCGCTTCATGCTCCTCATGAAAAACAGGCAAGGTGTTTCTGCTCTGCTTGATGAGCCAGTCGATGGCAGGCCTCGTGCGCAGGGTCCATGTAATTACTATCACAATTTTAAAAAAATTATGGCAGCTTCGTACTAATGGTGCTGAGCCTGAATACATGAATACAGGGCATAGGTGGGTATCCGACATTGTTTCTTGTTATTCTTCCTTCCTTTATTTATTTATTTCTGTGTCTTCTATCCCTATTTTGCATAAATTTTCTATTTTTTGTTTATTTCCATCTTTTGTGCATTTTAAAATCTTTTTTTTCTCTTTCAAAAGAGTTGAAAGTTGCGTTCTCACGATGCTTTCTATCTCTTTCTTTTTCCTTTCTGTTCCTTCACTTATTGCTTCTGCTCGCTTTCTATCTTTTCTCTCTGTCTTTTTCTGCTTTTTTCTGTCTGCCTCTTTTTCGGTATTTCACTGTTGCGGTGTTTTTTTTTTCTCTTTCGCTCTCTTTAACTTTCTCTGTTTTTCTATCTTTTTGTCAATATTCTCTTTATTTCTCTCTGTTTTTATCATAGTTTTTTCTTCTTTCTTTCTCTCTTTTTTCTTTTTGTTTCTTTCTCTCTCTCTCTTGTGTGTTTCACCGTCTCCACTTCGCTAAGCAGAGTTTTCGTTTCACGCTCGTACTTGTTGTGCTTGAAAGTGGGGCTTGCCCAACTACATGAGGAGTATTGCATGACGGAGTATTGCATAACCACATGAGGAGTATTGCATGATGGAGCACAAGTTATCAGTAGCCTAAAGAGCTTTGCTGTTAACTGATAATGAGCCATTCCACTCTGCAAGCTGGACAACCAGCGAAGCTGTTTAGCACACAGCATACATATGACATGGTGGAGGCCAGTGTGGTATGTAAGGTCTGGTTGCTAACCGCCGGGCTGTTAACCTTCAATACAGCTTACTTTTTGCACTGCTCCCTAGAGAGAACTAGAGAACGTCCTAGCCATTTACAACCCTGCTGTAAAAGGAAAACAAACTTTGTAGTATCATGTAGTCCCCCGTTGAATACAGTTTTACACACTTTTGCGGATGCTTGGCTTAAAGCAGATTTCCATCATCTGGGCAACGCGTTGTATGCACATACTGTTGAAACACTGCAAGAATGCTCTGTCTAAAGCACAGATAGGCTTCAGTGAGAAGGAACGAAGTGGTGGAAGAAGTTCACCTTCTGAGTCCAGCTAAGTGGTGTCATATTGCACTCAGCAATACAATTGATTGAGAAAAAGGACCTGACTTTCGCCTTTTAGTTGTTTTAGGGGAATGCATTGCTTAGGGGAATGCAGTTTTTTGCATTGAGGTGCTTTTGTATGTTGCGGCAATTGTCTACCAATTCTGCTGATAACCATGTAGGCATATAAAGAATGTCTATTTATGAAATAGAGTTTTCAGTATTCAGTTTTTTGTTTATTTACTAGTTCCAAAAAATTGCTGAAATTCTTATTCGGAAACTCTCAAGGGCATGATGCCCTTATTGTTAAGACCACACGGCCCAGCGCCGCTATCTTGGTCTTGTTTTGCTTGTGAATTCTTGCTTTTTTTTTTTTTTTTTTTTTTTTTTTTGGCTCCCGCGGCAGCGGCATGGTCGAGGCAGGATCACTCATGATTGGGGGGGGCTCTCGAAGTTTTGAAGTCTCCCACGGCTCGGATGCAAAGCTGCAATTTGAGGAAGCGTGCGCCTCTCGATCAATGATTCTGTTATGAAATTATCAGTGTTGTGCGAGTATCAAATTTTCAATTTTGAAATGAATTGAACATTTTTCTGATATCTTCAAATATGAATAGCACAACTGCTAATTTTTGCAAATAAATAAATATGAAGTTTGCATGAAAGTTGGATAGCTGCTCGGTTTGTTCGTGAAGCAGCGACACTGTTGTGCATGTCACCTTTTCTCCAGACAACGAAAACAGTGGCTCACTAGAGGTGCTAATGCTAGTTTGTTTAACTTGTCATAATTTAGTCTTCTAAGCATACTATCTCAAATGGCAACTGGTGGGTTCATTTTTCATTACAGGGGGTTCATCTAAGAATAACCCTGAATGTTTCTTTATTTTTCTACATTCCTTCTAAATTTTGCAATGTCCCCCATTTGTTTTAGTGGATTTTTTCGATGTAATTTCAACACTATGTTGCAATGATGTGCTTGGCCTCATATACAACACCATGATCTGGTCACTGCACTCATATAATAATGCAACATATGTCAAAGCTTTATAGGGTTGGGGGCATGAGACAACTGAAGCTTGTTAGTCTGTTTGTGTATCAAATTTTGTGGAACTTAGTACAAGTGTGTAATTCTTTGGTGGAATTTACCATTGTCTCTCAAGAGAAAGTAACAGCTATATCGTTTCAGTGCTTTCTTCAAAGGGCCTCTCACGAGGTTTGACAATTTTGAGCTGACGAGCAGAGTGCATCCACTGGGTGTTCACAATTTTGTCTGCCGAAATTGGCAACGCTACGCACCACGTATATAGGATATAGGTCCACTTTCGAGCTGAAGGCTGCTTGCCCTTCCTTTCGCATGTGGGCTCCCAGAGAATGAGGGAATGACGTACACGATGAAGTGGCCCTACATAGATAGTAGTGCTGTGGCGTCAGTCCTCTATGTATACAACTGTGCTCTGAAGTCACTTACAGTAGCATGTGACATGGCAAAAATTATTTGACATGACATGTAGTTATGCAATTTATTGTTTGAATAGATGAAGAAAACTTGATAGAAATAATCAGAGACATTTAGTCTAACTTCTCGAAAACTAGGGCACTTCTGTTGATAATATTACCATTTTAGACTTTGTCAAACATTGAGCTCACTCGATATAAATTGTTTGCCTTAAGTGACCCTTTAAGAAGCGGAAACATGGAATCTTTCAAAAAGAGTTCAACTTAAACTTAAAATGATACAGTGAGCCATAAAAAGAAAAATGGTAAGTGTGACATCAAAGGGACAAGGAGAGAGCACGGTAGGTTAGTGAACAAATGCATGTTGAAACATTGTAGTCAAGATCAAGAAATTAGCATGGACAGGACATGTCGCGAGAAATCAAGATAACCAATTGTGATTCAGAGTAACAGACTGGATTACAAGAGAAGGCAAGCATGTGAGGTGAAGGCAGACACCTAGACGTGTTGATGAAATTGAGAAGCTTGTGGTGATAATGTGGCTGCAGAAAGTGCAAGACTGGTTTTATTGGCAAAGCATGGAAGATCCCTTTGTACTGATATCAGTGTGAAGTAATAAAGTATTGTAAATATTATGAACGGTAAAAGTGCCTTGCTAATGGAATCCCTAACTACTCGAATAAAATATCCGAAGTTTCAAATATTTGCACACCTCCCAAAATTTTTTGCAATTGTGGGTGCTCAAGAAGGTGGGATTCTCTTTTGCAGGGACACCCAACACCTGTAGCACTTGAGCCCTGTGCCAGTGGCAAGGCAGCTGTGCTGACGCTAATTGTGCGCATGCCAACGGGGGGTCAGGAGCACACAGCCACAGGCCAGTCAGGCCTGGCCATTGCCAGTGCCTTGGTCTCATTGGGGACCCTCTGCAAGAGTGACACCATCAAAGAGGATGGCAAATCGGACTGCTGGAAGCCCTCGTCCCATCCAGGGACCTGCATATAAGTCTACGGCCACTGTGATAATTGCTCAGTGTGTCACCTTTTGGTGGGTGACACCACCCTTATACGGGGCATATGCCAAGCTCCTTTGGCGCTGTGAGTCGTGATTGGCCCTGCGCTTTATTGAACTGGCCTTCGTGCTTTTCTTCTTGAGAAGTGGCTACTATGCCCAGCTCGCGTGCATTGAGGCTGATTATTTTGGCTGCAGCTATTTGTGGCATAACCATGTGTTCTGGATTTTAAACTTTATTTAGGACAGTATATTTTAATTTAATATGGTGAAATAGGTGTCTATTAAGAAATATGCAGGGGAAAAAATGATTCCTTATTTACACAGTGGGTATTGCTAATCATGTTCTAAAGCATGAACAGCAAATCAAGTGATTATAACTGGCCCAGGTGCACTGCATTCCTTTTATGTACATGTGTTTGTACGTTTCTTTCAAAAGGCCTCTAAGCATAATTTCAATAAGTGCAGTGGGTACATAAGAATAAATAAATGTGAAGATAGTGGAGCCCTCTTTGTGCATTGTGTATTTGTGGGATGACTTGCACTTCATATGAACCAGTTAAGGCCTATTTGTGACCTTTGCTTAAAAAAAAAAGTCTATATATACTGCATGACATTAGTTCATGTATGACAAGCCTTTTATGAAAGTTTGCGGTGACCACTGCGAAGCCTATGTTCAGTAGTGTTGCTGGGCAGGAGTGTGTCTTAGCCAAAAGAGGTCCTCGAGGACAATCATCTGTGAGAAATTGCAAAAAACAGAAAAAAGCAGAAAAGTTAGTGTTGAGCAGTGCCATGTGACTCACTCCTGACTCAAAATACGTGTCGGAACCTGTGCCCTCTTTTAAAGCAGGCCTTTCCTCAGTGCTTCCACCTCATGTATAAATACTGGTTAGGTACTCTTTGGCAAGTGTGTACTATGACTTTGGCCTAACATTATTGAAAATTACTGTTGAAGTAATTGCTGCTGCAGGTTATTGAACATGGCTGCAACATGAGTGTCATTACTTTAGCTTTGTGTACACATTGTTACCTTGACGCCTATAAAACTTCTTTCTGTGCATTGTTTATTGCCAAGTAATGAGTTTATAGCAGCATGGGCACTTAAACCAGTGTCAGGCGGTCAATTCTTTATTGCAATCGAGCATAATCTGAATACAGTTTCTTGATCATGATTGGCTCCTTTGCAAGCTGATGAAGAAACCAATTGCCCTGATAAAGGGTAATTGTGATCACCATGTGACACTAGTACTAGACAGACGTTTGTATACAAGCATGCTTGGTGTGATTGTTTGATTGATTGATACGTGGGGTTTAACGTCCCAAAACCACCATATGATTATGAGAGACGTCGTAGTGGAGGGCTCCTGAAATTTCGACCACTTGGGGTTCTTCAATGTGCACCCAAATCTGAGCACACGGGCCTACAACATTTCCGCTTCCATTGGAAATGCAGCCGCCGCAGCCGGGATTCGATCCCGCCATTCGCGGGTCAGCAGCTTAGCCACTAGACCACCGCGGTGGGGCATGCTTGGTATGTTCTTCCGAAAGTTGTGCTATGAATGTTTTTTGAAACATTCTTTTTTTTACGGTGACTCACTCTCTGTAATGGGGTCTGATGGAATTTCTGATTGACTTGCTTCAAGTAGGTGGTATAATAAAGGTAAAGTAGGTACAATTTTAATGAAAAACCAAAAGTGTTGCATAGAATTCTTATGATGCTTTAGTTTACTTTATTCTTCTTGTTGAATTTTCATGAGGTATTGTAAAAAGACAAAATATTATGCAACACTGTTTCTGTACAATCTTAACTTTGTGATTGAGTTGCCTGTAATTATTTTTAGATAAGTTAGGTGCTTGAAAGATGTAGAATTCTAATGACACTTCTGAATTTTGAGTGCAAGTCTACTATACTTAAAATTATTAAGCAAATTACAAGATCAAAACGATGTTTTGTTTCTGGCGCTAACCATATATACCAACCAGGAATGTTCATATATGGCGAAATTTCTGCTGTAATTTAAACTAACTGCATTGAATATAACGATGACATTTCTACATGGAAAGACGCATGTTAGTGACGAGGTCTCAGTGTTCTCAATTTTTCCAAGCATGGAACGTGATTCAGGTTTACAATGCAGAACAACTTTGTTAAAGGGGTACTGACACAAAACACTTTGGCGTCGTATTTTTCTGCTGCAACGAGTTGCTAGGTGCCTGTTAGTCATAACACGACACATCGTTTGCTGCAGCACACGATGGATAATTAATTACAGGCCCCTCAATATCGACCAGTTTCAGTTTCGGTTTGAGAGAGCTCGAAAAACTTGAAGTCGCTGGGTGCAACTATCGCCACCTAGTGTATGCGGCTCTCGACCATGTCAGCACACAAAACTGTGACACACTTCCACGCGGTTCGCATCAGAATTACTTTCAAATAAGAAACGGGACTACAGTGTCGCCAAACACAAAAGTTTCAAAGCGTGCGCCACGTCTACCAACTTGCGACCAGCCGCCAAGAAGTACAGACTGCGGGAACACACATGGCAAAAGAAAAATTGTGGCTATGACGTCATCATAACTTGTTTTATTGACTGCAGCGTGGCGACGTGAGGGAAGTAGGAGGATCCCCAGGGGGTCCCCTTCAAGGGTGTCAATGGCATGATGGAATCTAGCGCTCACGCAAACTTCAAAATCAATTTAAAATGCCTTTCAAGCTGCATTCGCTGCTGATGTTTTGCACATGATATACGAATATTCACGGGAATCGACCCCACAGGCTATCTCGGTAGGGAAATTTTGAGTCAGTACTTTTTTAAATTAAAACTACTCTGAACAATTATTTTACTTAATTGCACAAAAAATATGCAGTCATGAACAGTTTTCAAGATTTTTTCAAAAATTTGACTGGTGCAGTTGTACATTTGTTACATTAGTATTTATTTGCAGCAGGTTCAACTTGATAGTTGAACTTTATCGTGTTTAACTTTCAACACTGCAGTTATTGTAAATTGCAAATGCTTTGTTTCACATGCTTTTTTCTGCCATAGCTCCTGTCTTCTTTCACACTGGTCATTAGCCGAGTGGCTTAAATTGCCCAATAAGTATTTTGTTGAGCACCACAATGTAGCTTTTTATTTCCTTATATATCCGTGGCACTACATACTGGGAATTTGGGTAACACATTACAAACACACTTTGGGAGCTTTTATAGCAATAATTGGTTATGCATGGTTGATGAAATGGTGATGAAAGTTCTGAACTATCTCAGTTGAGTGAAGAAAGCATTAGAATACTGCGATCTTGTGCTGATAATGCTGCCATATTATAGCAATGATGTTCACAGTATTGTAATTTTTGGGCGTGGAACTGAGAAATTGTTTATATTAAAGCTTAAAAGGGGATTGCAGTGCCCATGAATTGAAAGAAAATTGTGTTTAGCTCTTGAGCACATTTTTAAGTGAAGCTTTCTTTCGTCTAATACTGCTGACCGCAGCACAAAAACAGAGCATATTCCAGGTCACTGTAAAATTACATGATATTGTATTCCTAGTCTTTCTAATGATAATGTGTCTGGGTCTGGAGCCATTGGTTTTTTGAATTATGTCATTTTAAATTTTAATCTAGCAACACTGCACATCCTGTTGCTAGGGACAGTTTCTGCAGCCAAAACAAACAGCCCAGTTCTTTGCAAATGCCTGCACAAACTTATGTGCACAGATTGTGTGTGTTGTGGCTGGTTTGGCCACTGGAGAATAGGACTCGCCACCTTGCTGGGCAGAAGAGTGGCCAGAATAAGCACTCCCTGCCCCGTGTGTTTGGATGGTATTTGAGCATAAGTTCTGGCTGGGTGAAGAGATGGACACAGAATGGATCTCTCGGTGCTACTTGCTTTCTAGCCCGGTTTTGCTTTTCGGTTCTCACCTCCCAGTCTTATTGATTGGCCCTGTCCACACAATTTCTTATTACAGGGGACATATCAGTGCAACTGTGTTGTCAGGCTAAGGGTTTGTAGCAACATGCAATAGTGTGCCACAAGATATTGACGCTGTAGTTTTGTTCTTGTGAATGTGTCATTTTAAAGTTGTGTATTTATTTTGGAGTTATATACTAAGAGCTTGCTGTTTATATTTTCTACCTTTACACTTCATTTTGGATTGTCACTGTTTTGGATTATGTTCTTAATCGTGTTTGCAGGCAGAAGGGAGCCTTTTTTTGGCACTTTCACCAGCATCCCCAAAAATGTTGCACTCATCTGTCTTTCCTTTAAAACCCTCTCCCCTTGCTCTTTTTTTTTTCAGAATCCCCTTGCTCTTTTTTTTTTCAGAACAAAGTGCCCTCTTTTTAAAAGGGCTTATTTATTTGTACATCTTGCACAGTGCTTCTGCGTAATGTTGTTGCCTGATGGTGTGCTTGCGTCTATTCCACCTACATTTTTAGCTTGGAGATGTCCGCATTTGTTAGACAAGTCATGCAAGCTATTTGGTGGTTGAATTGTTGCTGTAGCTGGCCACAACAGCCCTTGTAATGGTTCAGAACTGGCTGAAAAAATCATTGCATGCGAAAAAATGTGTCTTGGGAATAGAATTTGGGATCTCATATATGCAAAACGATCACTTTGCAGTTCTCTTATTTCAGGTGCATGCGTGCAAAATCTTTCATTTCCTGCACTGACATCATCATAATGTCGTCTTCCTCATCAACTAAACTCTTGTACTATGTATGCAGGCGTTATTGTACTTATGTTCAAAGGAGCATGGTAATATTAAAAAGAGCACTTTTATTTCCTTGTGTACCTGTGTTTTTTTAGCCCCCTGCTTCAGCTTGGGTTGCTCTTGATCAGATCACTAGGAAATCATCTTATTAGTAACACATGACACCCCATACTTGCTGACACTGCTTGGCCAAAACTACAGGTTTAAGGTACGAGGCCAAGTGGAAAAAGCAAGTTTTTTTTTTTCAATATGTCGCTGTCTAGTTTTTAGTTATGCAAAATGCCCAATTGATTGCCTGTCATTTTGGTGTATAAACCTTCCATCTGTGCAGTTTTTTTTTTCAAAGATACAAGCAAAAATGTTAGATCACCCATCACCTACGAAACTGAAAGTGCCAATTGTGTGTCAATCATAGGATTAGCTTGACATGTAGTATTTTGTTGGTTATTTAGCATAAATATCAAGAGCAAACATGTAATAGTGCTTATAAGTGCTGTCAGCACATCATTTTTAGCCATAAAAATCATAATCTTCTCGTCAGGTGAACGGGCAACGTTATATATGTGTTTTACGCACTGAAGGGCACTTATGTGAGCCTGTAAGCTATCAAGTTTTCTTTGCTTGATTATGTGCATGATTTAAAAAATATACAGAAGCACATTTGATATTTTTAAGAAAATTGCGGTCAAGCCTGACTCCTTACACTGGAAAAAGTGTGCCCCACAACCGATCAGCACCATAGAGCGAGAGCACCTCGTCATGTCACTGTTGCTGCAAAACAAGCTCGAAAAAAGTTGGAGCTGCCGCTAGACAAGAGGCACACAATATTAAGGTCTTCAGTGGAACAAGCTACAAATATTGAGAATTTTAGCCCTCTCGAGTATCTTGTGTAAGCCCTGTGCCTGTTTCAAGTTTTTCTTTGTCGATTTTCTCAAAACTTACATTTCTGACATTTTTCCGTACGGGAACAATGGTAGCTTTTTTTTTGCTAATCAACATTTTTCATCAAAACTTTGCATACTTCCTTATCATATTGTGAGGCCTGCAATGGTAATTGAATATTGAGCAAGCTGTAACTGATAAGCATGCAACAGCATGTAGCACTTATCATAGCCTATAAACAATGACGCTGTCAAGAAGGCAAGTTTGCAGTGATATCACATTGTGAGGCGTGCAATGAACCTCAATGAGCAAAATTGTGCCACAAGATTTAATATGGCTGCCTGTTATACAAAGGTGCCCCTAATGTTAGTGCATACTTTTCTGGTTATTCAATTACTAAGTTTTTACCATTCATCAGATCTCATTTCTTTTGGTTCATTTAACAGGCCAAAGCATTTTATACGAGCCTAGAAAAAATAATTTTTTAACGAGCAGAATTTGAGTTACTGAGTGTTTGTGCAAGGCATACTTTTAATAAAATCATCTCGCTTATTTCTGGTGTGCAGATGCACCATGCGTGTGTTACATTGTTGGTGTTCGACTTACATTGAATACATCTAATTTCCAAGGTAAATACTAATTCAGGCAGTACTGCTGGGAGCTCATTGAGGATGGAAGACTGCCTTAACACTGTTCACTGGTCTATTTTGATAGGCCCTGTAGTGATGTATACTATGCCTAGCTTTAAAATTTTCAGATGCTATGTACAAAGTGGTGTGTATTATAAATGTGCCTCTTCCTGCAAGCATGATACTTATGCTGCCAATTTTACACTTTCAGCCAATGCTTTGCATCTCGCAACTGCATAGTTTACTGTATCATATAGTGCTTACGAACACGACTAAAACTAAGGTAGCGCATATATGATATTCCGCATGGCAGCACATGGTTAGCTGCTGCCAGAATAGCCTTTTTTATGTGTCTGAACAACAAATTCTAACATTCCAATATGTCTTCTGAAAGGGGCCCTGCAACACTTTTCGAAGTAGCCATGGAATGGATTCAATAAAATAGTATATTGCTTTATGAAATGACTGCATACCGCTGCATACGGAGGATATGAAAAACATCTCTTTTACGACTACTCCTTTAAAAGCCCCATAGGGCCATTACATAAAAGGCGGGGGTCTCGATCATGCAGCTCGAGGGGCGCATGCAGCCTCGAACTTCTCGCTTGCTGTCTCGCCCATGGCTATGTTCACCCCATATGGTATTTTTTTTCTTGTGTTGATAAAGTTTTCATAAGCATGTGCCTGAGCTACACTGGTGTGACTGGCCTGAAGCATTGTTTTCGTGAGGATGTGGTCACCGTGTCTTGAAACATAACCATGAGACAAAAACAGTGTTTCAGAATTGGTGTTCAGATTTTGTTCATCTTGGAGATCAATATCGACATGTATGGTATCATAACCCCAAATTTTCTTCAGAAATGACTTATATGTGAAATATGTTAAAGGCTTTCTTTTAATGGTAACGCTTGCAGACAATGTGTATTAACTCTTTTTTTTTTTTTTTTCAATTCGAACTATATGTCGCAGATAAATCTGGCACCACCTGATCTGCTTCCTTTACTTGTTTGTTTGCTATGCTCAAGACTATCGAGGGACCCTTCAAGAAATTTAGCACAAATTAAAATATAGTAAAGCAGAAAAAAAGCTTTCATGTAGAAGGCATGTTGGGAACTTTACAGTCAGCATGGAGAGTGTCCTTAAAGTATGACTGGTCTTTAATTGACTAAAAGTCTTTCATACCCTGTAAAAATCTGTGCAGGAAGTGTTGCAAGAAGTTCCCATTACTTCTATGATGTTTGATACCAGACACCTAGGCTTTCTTGCCTTAACCTGCCCGACTGGCCTTTAAATGCCTTTGATGTTTTTCTATGATTTTGTACCCCATGCGACAGATGACATGCTATGTTGCGGTTTTTGCATCTAGGTCTGCTTATGGTGCGGAGCCCAAATGAGCTTGATTTCTTGTTGAGGTCCGGGAAATGAGGCCGCTCACCAGACAGCCCGAGGGAACATAAACCGAGCAGTGGTGCAGTCCCACGAACCAAATCCGAATGACCTGGCGCTCAGCTACGTAGACCGCCGGCTCAGCCGGCACCGAGAACAAAGGCTTTATCCACCTCCAGATGAAGCATATTAATCGTGGGCCCAAGCGACTATAGATACACTGCGAAGGGCTCAGACTCGTTGTATACTCAGCCCGAGGAGGCTGGCCTCAATAGTAAAAGATGAAAAGCTACACAAAAGTATTAACTGTCTCCTAGCGCAGGCAGGATAAGACCACGTATTATGGGGTTGCCCCAACAATCCCCCACCCGAGGAGCTCCTGCAGCCATTTCCCTCACCGGAAGCCTGGGAGAGGTCCTTAAGGAGCCCGAATTTGCATATACGGGCAAAGCTGGTGGACTGGTCTGCTAGTGTTGCGGCCCCCTGGGCCCCAACCTAGCCCCCCGTCAAACTTGGTTTTCCCCATTTCCCCTGCCCTTTCTGAATAATAAAGTTTATTCCTCCTCCAGGTCTGCTTGTTGTTGTAGTTGTGGATAGAGGTTTACTTAAGTATTTTACCTTTATTCAAGCTTTACAATCGACCCCTCATGCTGTATATGCAATGCTAGCAGAAAAAGTACCGTACTCCCCTATGGACATTCAAGAGCACAAGGCTCCAAGAACTCGCACGTGCTTCTTGGGGTCCCCCCACCAAAATATTCAAATGTGCTTTTATTGTTCCGAGGGAACAATAAATGTTTTGGGCCACGACTCGGTCTTCTCCTCCAGTTAGTGTCGCTTTCCAGGACAGTTGTATGGTCTCGTTAGACTTCTCACAACATTTCGCGACGGCTCTGCGCTGTTTGTTCAGCTTCAGGACATCCTTGGCGTGTTGTCAGAGTTGTTCCGATGGGGTTTTTTTTTTTTGTCTCGCCAATTTACAAAGAAGGGCCCTCGGCGCATGGGATTTGGTAAACGACGACGGGAGTTTGTTTCCCTTGACTCGTGGCTCACGCGGAGGATTGGCCAAGAAAGCGTAGTGCACATTTTTTGTGAGCATTATAACTATGGGTAAAAATGAATTTGTATTATAATATAACTAATGTAAGGAAAACCACATAAAAAGAGCAAAAGAAAAAAAAATAGAAAAGTCAGTTTGAGAAATTTTGAGATTTCACGTGTTGTGATTACCACACAGCTGCATTTACTTCACCTCACCATTTAGAATTTTTTAAAGATACCAAATAATTATTTGACTGAAGATCACAATGGGATACGTCTGGATGCCTAAATATAATCGCTAACGGTATTGAAAGCATCCCTGTGGCAATGTCCCAAAACTGAGGCATCAAAGCTTAGTGCAGTTTCCGCCGTCAATGTAACGCCTATTTTCAGAAATGGAATAACGAAGTCTTTTTCTAGGTGTAGCGTATCAGCGACAATACAAAAAATAATGTTCAATTGATTCCATTTCTCCGCAGACTGCACAGAGGGGTGATATATCGTCGCTCTGCGTAAATACTGGTTTGGGGGGGGGGGGGGGGGGGGGGGGCACGACATCGGAATTTAGTAATTAAAACTTCGAGCTTTCTGGGCTGACTTCAGTTGGGTTGCCATGGAAACTTGAGGTGGTTATATTCTGTCCATGTAGTTGCTTTTTCTATCATATCAGTGCAGATTGCGGATTTTTACGCCGGGATGAGTCTTGTCAGTTGTTCTTTTCTTATGTGCTGTAACATTGTAAAATGTAAATTTAATCCCTAATCTCTACTAGGTATCAATATCATGTTTATGAGACAAATAAATTTTTGGTTGATAATTGTTAACCTAATAGGCATATAGTTTTGCTCAAAGAAATGTTGAAAAAACAGCTAACTTGGGCTATTTTTTGGCTACCTCAAATTTATGCGTTAGGCTATCTGGACATCGAATTTGGTGGTTTGAGCATTCAACGCCATCTCGTAGCCCTGATCCCAGTTTGTTTTGCCCAGTAGCATGGTCTCGGTGTTAGCACGCATATTTGTCGTCTGGCGCTAACTTTAATATCGAGGATAGAGTCGAGTGCCGCAAAGCCCACGAGTTTAAAAGTTTTGTAAGCCAAAACTGTTGCATTTAATACGACAAGTGGTTCAA